AGAAGCAAAGTTTTCATCATAGTCAGAACCAAACTTCTAGCAAAGTCCGATTTTGTATCAAAATACTTATGTTAGAACCATGCTATAAATAAATCTAATATATATTCTAAGTCACGCTTTCGAGGTATGGAAAACGCAAGTTGAATTTCATCAATCGGTCCAGTAGAACGGGAGATATAAAACTGTCCCCCCTTTTTTTCCCCGTTGTGTACATCTTTGATTATATGTAAAGATCCTTCTTTACTAGTAGCATTTGCATCTATGTTGAGTATAATTTTTTGTATAATTTTTGTTGAGTATCGGCTTTAATATGAAACTATATCCTGCTAAAAATGCCCCATAGAAAGTTTTATTGGTTTCTATAACCAATAAAACCAATAAAACTTTCTATGGGTACCCATAAGATTTTATGGGTTTCTATTGACTTTTACTGGTTTCTGTTGGTCTCTGTGGGTTTTTCTTACTGATTTCAAAATGACCCACAGAAACCAGTAAAACTTTCTTACTGGTACCTATAGAATTTTTGATGGTCTCTACTGACTACTACTGGTTTCTATTGATCTCTGTGGGTTTTTCTTACTGGTATCAATTGACACCCATACAACCAACAGCAATGTCAGAACTTTCAACTGGTTTGTATTGGTTTATATTAACTTTTACTGGTTTTCTAACTGGTTTTCTAATTATATATAATAATAAATCTTCTGTTGGTTTATATGGGTTTATGCTATTTTTCTATCGTTAATAGACTTCTTGTAAACAATAAAATTAATAGAATGAAAATATGATCTCTTTAAGACCATCAGAGTAACCTGGAAAAGCAGGTGGTTGTTTTAGAGAGGGTTTTTACTAAATATGCTTATTTATTTGATTTAAAATGTTTTTTTTCGGAAACAATAACAGTAATCATATAAACCACACACAACGAGATCTCTCTAAGGCGACCAGCCGCAGTTAAAAATTCATCTTTGCAAGTGGTCGCCTAAGAGAAGTGATGCTCAATACCAATATATACTCACGTTCTCAGAAAAGCGTTTATCTTTTAGAGGTAGTCGTCTTAGGGAGATTGCATCTACGAAATGAATCTCTCTAAGGTGACCAGCCACACTTGCAGAATTTTCTTTGTGAATAGTCGCCTTACAGAGGAAATGTTCAATACCAAAATATACTTGTTTTCAGAAATACTGGTCTCTTTCAGAGGCGGTCGTCTTAGGGAGGTGGTTTTTGCTACGAGTTGGTTCTCTGAATACACACACATAAGCACTTACATATCTGATATTACAAATAAACACCGGTATCAACCAACATCTCTTTAACTCGACCAAGTTCATTCACAATCGCAAAACTTTTCTCCGTGTTAACGCTGACGTGAGGAAAAAAATTCCCCCTCCCCATGCTCCCTTCCCCGCTCTCAGAAGTTTCCCAAACAAGCAATATGGCGCCGTTCTAGTTGTTGTTGTGCGATGGTGGTGTTATTTTCTTCGTGGATGTAGTAATGCAATATATAATTTACTATGATTTACTGTATTACAAATTTTACTATGTTTTACTGTTTAGAAATTAGTAATAAATAATAAAATACCAGCACTGACTATGAATATGAAAGCAAAATACCACTAAAGCCATGCACGTGTAATCGTGTCTAATGTTTGAGAGAACTTGGCTGATAGCTGACTAGTTGTGAAATGGAGTTTCTGTGCGTTAAATTGATTTTCCATCTTTACTTTCATCTTGAAAAGCAATGTGCTTAAAGACTGAAAAGTGATAATTTCAGACTTGATAATTTGGTTCAGTGTGTTTAGATCAGATGCAGAAATATAGTTTTTGCATTCTACAGAAACTGTATTTTGGAAAATTTGTTTTTTTGATTACAGTTTAGAAATACATTTTAAAGCTTGTTCATGTAGATTGCTTTATCATTTGAATATTATGTACTAATAAATTTGAGCATACCTTACTTAAAAATGATCTTGCATGATTCAATTTTCAATTATACTACATATAGTATAAATACCCATTATGTTATAGATTTTATTTATATATATTTTATTTATATAAAATCTATGGAAGATTATAGTATAGCACTAAAAGTGAGATACGGAATAAAATATCTATACGCTGAGACATATTTCTTTAAATTCCCGAACTGTGCGTTGAGAATTGGTATTTGTTTGAGACTCGTAAAAATTTTTAAAGTTCGTTTTGCTACAATATAATTTATTGTATTTTGGGTATTATTAAGTTTATTATATTTTATCTTTCATGTTTCATTTATCTTCTGAGAGATACAGGTAACATTCAAAGTATTGTAATAAGGGGTCGACACAGTGTTTGTATATTATTATTTCTTCTCTATACATTATACACTGGTCTGCAGAAATTCAAGGCCGAGACGGTTTCTTTCCACGCAAATACATCTATGTGCGTGTCATAATAAGCTGCAGGGTGTTACTATCAATGGTAAGCGAGCTTTAAGGGGATAGCAAGTATGCTAAATTTGAACTCTATATTAAGTTTCTAATTTGCAAGTCCCTTATTCTTCTTGCTTGCTTGTTAATAGTGTTTCTCTACCTGGAAACTAGGCTTTCTTCTAGTTTTGTTTTTAAATTTGGTTTAGTGCATTGTAGATAACTTAAAATTTAAGCAAATGCTAGAAAGTACCATCTCTTGGCAATACATTTTCCATTAGGTATCAAATTGTTAAACAAGTTGATGTGATTAAATACCATTGTTTAATTTCCCAATTAAAGAACTGAAATACAAATATATGCAGTGAGATACACTACTATATGTATATATTTATAATCAAATCAATAATATATATACAGCCAATGTAATGATTCGCAACCATCAAATGATATGTATATATATATAATAGATTCTGTAGTCGAATACAAGCAGCTGAATCCGTAATGAACAGCAAGAATTTTGATGGCTTAGAGATGTTGAAACTCCAATCCACAATGAATAAGAAATTTGGCAGTCGAGGTAGATTTAATTCAACTTTTCTTTCAGCAAATATGTTGCAACCACAAACAAGTTGGCACATTATTTATGCCTATTCCAAAAATTAACATTTTTTATAAATGTGTAGTAAGAAACAAGGAGCAGACAGACTGCAATCCAGCTAGGCCAAAGCGTAAAAAGCAAATGCGTTATGTTAAGGGTGAAATCTTAATTCAGACCGAGTTAATTTTGGTTCTCGATGCATTTTTACTCGTATTTGATAGTTAATACTGCTGTAAAATTACTATTGGCTGTTTGAGTTTTAGTTCCTTTTACAACATCAAATTATGTAAGAGTCATATGACTTGAATTAATCTCGAAATGATGCAGTGCAGAAAGATTGCTGTTTTTAGAATAGAGAAGGAAAATTAATTTTACGCTGCTAATTTAATCTTTTGCTTATTCCTTATTTTTCTTACATATATATATACGTACATATATCATTCGATGGTTGTGAATCATGACTTTGATTATGATCTTTATATTCATTTTATTTTCAAAATTATATAAAGGGAGTTTAAAATTTTGTGAAGAGAATTTATACAAATATTTTGTAATATGTTTATAGATATTGACGTGCATTGAGAAGGACAGGGGCTTTTAGGCTTCTAGATATTTAAAAAATTTTATTTATTCGCGTTGAATTTTATTTAAAATTACTCTACATGCTTTCTCTGCCATTTAGTTCTGTACATTTCATCAGTGCTAATTATGTACTTCTGCTGGTTTATGTTTTTATGGGAATTTGATCTACAGTTCTATTTTTGTGTATTGTTTTTATAGGGGTTTTGTATATGGATACCCGTTCTATGTACGATTCTATGTATTTTTACTCCACTATGATATAATTCTATTGGTTTTGTTTATGGGTTTTTGTGTATTGTTTTGTGCAGCAATTTTTCCAAGACGTACCTTTATTGGTCTGTGGATTTTTGTGTAGTGGTTTTTACAGGATTTGGCCTATGGGTGCCTGTATAGGTGTACGTGCTTCTATCTACTGGTTTTTATGAGGCATAGACCTACGGAATATCCATTTTTTTAATGGAGATTTGGCCAATGGGTATGCATAAAGTTCTGATTTCTGGCTATGGGTTTTACTGGGATTTCGTTTATAGTGTCTACAGTTCTACAGGTTTCTCCAGAGATTTGGCCTACTTGTATCTGTACAGTCGTACGGGTTTCTGTTTTACAGGTTTTTTACGGGTATTTGGTCTACTGGTACCCGTATAGCTGTGCAGGTTTCCTTCTATGGGTTTTTATGGGTATTTGGCCTACGGGCACCCGTACAGCTGTACGGGTTTCTTTTTATGGGTTTTTACGGGGATTTGGCCTACGGGTACCCGCAGATCTGTATGGGTACCCGAAGGCCAATTCCCCGTAAAAAAAATTTTATGGGTTTCTACGGGGCATTTTTAGCAGGGTAGTCTAACAGTTACAGTTTTTTTCCTTTATTATTATTTAATTAAAGTATGATTTTTCATTCAGTCTCATAATCTTTTGTTGTTAACATTTTTTGTAGTAAACATTTTCACAACAAAGTACCAAAGTAGAGAGTAGAATAATTTCTCTTACCTTATATTTAGTCTTGTGTCATCATAGTTTAGTAAGAGGAGTAATCCAAAAAGAGGTTGTAGACGAAAATTGTAATTTTAAAAACCCATTTATTTTTACATAATAATAGATTAAGATTCAATAGTTTTCCTAATGTATATCAAGAGAGAGTTATATAAGAAAGAGTTATATCACTATCCTTTCTTGAAAGAGTGAGAAAAGAAAGTAAAAGAAAAAACGAGTCACACAATTAACTGCTTTGTAGAGTGACCAGATTACAATGTTTATCGCGTTGCTGAGGACGTTTCATCACCATTTGCATACTAACACTTTCTACGCACTTTTGTTTAACGTGTTAAAATCCCTAAAAGAGATAAAGGAAACTTTTGCTGTTCACAATAGTTATAAGTGTAGTCGATAATAAGAATAGACAAAATAGGTACCTGATTTGGGATATGTTATGATGAACACATCATCTTTCCTTATTGACATATCGTCCAGTCCTTCCAGTAAGTCGGTTGGAATTAAATAGCGTTGCAGCAGTACTCCCCTATAAAGCTGAGCTTCCGGAATAGATTTTACGTATTCTGCTCTTAATGGATCTTTTTCTAAGTCTGGATCATCGAGTGCACGAACCACGACTCCTTTCTTCTTCTTCTTCCATCCAGTAAGTAATGTCGCCAAAGGACTGTTGTATAAAAGCTTCAATGAAAGCATCTACATTTGAAACAAGTTTTAGTTCTTTAAGTGTTGGTAATATACAGAAGATGTTTACACTTTTTTAGAATGATTGCAATAAAGAATTAAAAAAAAAATATGTTTTTGGAATAAAAATTTCTGGCAACACATTATCTGAAATGAGAAATATCGTCTACTACTTTTAAATTTGTTCTTCGTTCAAATGTCACATGTAAACAAGTTATAGATTGAAGAATATGTTCTTGCACTTTATGAAGAGAAATATTCCAATTCCATAATTCAAAAACGTTATGAAATGCATGATGTTAAAATTTCTAAGCGCAAAATAAGCAACACTTATCGGAAAGGGAAAAATCGTCAGTCATTGCTTCTGTAAGAAAAGAAGACTCCAAATGAATCCCCCCCCCCAAAAAAAAATAGGTACTATTTCCAATCGTTGGTAACAAGAAAAAAATTTGCCAACATAGAAATCAACTGCAAAGTCTTTATCTAAATGCATTTTTAGCAACAATAAATAAAATAATAAACCAAGCTTTACTATTTAAATAAGCTAAAAACATAATGTCTACTTATCGAAGAGAAAAAAATTGTACAAATCTGGTTTCGTCAATGCAAAGAAAGTTTCAGTACAAGGTTTATGATTGTCGTAGATTCTCTTATAATGGGAAATTAAAAAATAAGAAGAGTAGGAAACGAATGCTAAAATCAACTCTGTACTCTCAACAAAACGCTAATGTCCGATAATTACAGAAGTTCCATTTCTTTATCCCAATGACTTTCAAAGAGTGGAACTTCATCAAGACAAAGCAACAAGTCATATTTCCAGGGTTCATGGACATTTCTGCACATGGAAATTAGGTACTTTTAAGGACCAGTTATGAAAAACATTAGGGACCCATCAACAAATTAAAACAAATTTGAGAATAAAATCAACTTTATGAAATTTATCAGGTAGCATATAAGTTCAATGTACATCCGAGAAGAAAATGTGTAAAAACATTTCAATATGAATGAAATCAGTTCATTTTTTCCAAGGGACAACCAATTCGTAATTTTTTTTTTTTTTTTTTTTTTTTTTTGTTTTTGTCAAACTAGGAAATAAAAACTTTTGACACTTCAGTTTAATACGTACACGTATGATGTCGTCATTTAAATGTAATGCAATATTAGCAACTTTTTCTCAATATAAAAAACAGCATTAACATGGCAATAACATACAGCGTCAGTTATCCTAACCTGAAACAAGAAAGTCGTCAACAGCACCTATTTATTTAAAATGTTGATATTAACGAAATATTTTCGACATACGATGACGTCACACTCAATGGCGTGCTTTCTTCAAATACAGAATATGACCTTATGTAATAATCATGCATTAAATGTTTGATGAATTTTTGATTAACAAACTCAACGGTTTCGAAGCGAGCACAGGCAACACTGTACAAAAAAAAAAAAAAAAAAAAAAAAAAAAAAAAAGACACTTTTATTTCCAGCGCGCGAGACTGTCTATCGGAAATTCTAAAGATATGCTATTTTAAAATATTTTGTGATATTGCTGTTGAATAGAATTTTATGTGGTTTAAGTACAAAGAACATGATTTTTAATAAATAAAGGTAACACAAAACGTTAAAAAAGCGTCCCTTTGGGCGTAATATAAAATCTGATAGCTTTCAGATTTTTTTAAAAATTTTAAACTGATATTTTTTAATTAAATGCAAAGTAACAACTTTTTCTCGAATCAATAAAATAATTAACTTGGCAATAAGATATCATGTCAGTCATCCTAACCTATAAAATATTGCCAACAACAGATATTTATTAAAATGCTGATATTGACGAAACATTTTCGACCATACAATAACGTCACATGCAATCGCGTGCTTTCTTCAACGTCAGAGTATGCTTTTATATAATACAAAGTAAATGTTAAATTAATGTTTCACAATGATATTTTTATTTCATATTTTGTAACACTTTCAAAATTTTTATTAACAAACTAACACGATTTGAAAGAGAGCTGTAGCTACACTTTTCGAAATAAAGCAAATTTTTCTCTACAAGAGCGCGAGACTGTTGCCCCTCGGAAAAATGAGGGCGAAAATTAGCGTTTTTAGAGTTTTTAATTAATATTTCGGCTGATTAAAGTAACACGAATATGAGAATGATCGAAATGGATTCCTACGAATTTTTGAAATCCGGGGGGGGGGGGGAAGGACCTCTCTCGAAATTCAACTCCCTGCCGTTCCGGAGGATATGATGTTACAAATAAACAAATACACAGACGCGCACAGATTTCAATAATATAGATCAGCAGTTCTCGACCTTTTGACTAACGCATACCATCTAAACAAAAATTGAAAACTCTAGTACAACCACTAGCATTTTACAATGATTATTTTTCAATTTCTCAATAGAAATATTAAATTTTTTTTTTTTTTTTGCCATTTGTGCAACCTGTTGACTATTTGTATTAAATATATACACATAAAAATATTTGATTAAAAATTGGTTACCATTTTAATTATCAAAATTTAAGTTATAATACTTTAATTCTAAAATTTAATATGAAATTTGGGCCTGTGTAAGAAAGATCAATTTCTTTATGTCTAGTCTTATTTTACTTCGTTTTAACTGTAAATTAAGATCCACTTTTAATTTTGTTCTGTATTAATTTTTCAAATATAACATGGAAGAAAATTCTTGTTCACACGAATAGGTTGTGCAAAAAGGCAATAAAAATTTAATAGCTTTATTTCAAATGCTTTAAATTTTTTTCCTCGGTTCAACCAAAATTTAATAAGTGCGTCATTTTTGAAATCTTCAGTTAAGAGTTCGATCATAAGAAAATTCTATCAATTGTTCTTTTTCTTCACGAGATAAAATTTCAAGTACATTTGGACAAAATGGATTTCTCATCCAATTATCTTTTTCAAATCATCGGGAAAAGACACTATTTTAGGTTAGAGAACTTTCTGATAGTGGTAAAAGGCTTAAAATATTATTATCCGATTCTTTAATTATTAGCTCAAGTTTTTTATCATTGTATTTATTTTATCACTAATGGTAAAGAAATTAACATTTGTTGTCCTTGTACTTGTAATCCTAAATTTTATTCATTTAACTTTCCAAAAATATCAGCTAAATATGCTAAACGCGCCTATTATAATTTACTAAATAAACATTTTAGCAATTCAAATTTTGAATCACAGAAGAAAATTTTAATTTCTGATTGAAGTTCAAAAACACGGTTTAATATTTTGCTTCTGATTTAATACCTTACTTCGAAATATAACAAAAACGTTTCATATTCAATGCTCAATCTCTTGGCATAAAATTGTAAATATGCTTGAATTTAAAGCTAGCTTGGCTTTTAATAAAATTATGAATTTTCACAGCGTGATTCAAAATGATTTTCAGGTTTTCAGGGATTGTTTTGACTACTAAAGCTTCACGATGAATGGAGCAGTGAGTAAATTTAGTTTCAGGTGCAACTTTCTTTATATGAGAAATAACATCGGAATATTTTCCTGTTAAAGCCCGAGCTCCGTTATCGCATACGCCAATGCACGTATTCCAAGAAATATCATTCTGACATAAAATTTTCAATGAAATACATTCCGCAATAGAAGAAGAGTAAGAATGACTTTGCTTGTTTGCATTATCTGTACATAAGTCACGTGATCTCTGAGGTCATCTGCATTGTTTATTTACAAAAGGGTATACATAAGTCACGTGATCTATGAGGTCAGCGGAATGTATCTCATTACTTTGAAATTTTCATTTTTAGTTGCTCTGAAAGAGATTCACAAAATAAATACTTTTCTGCAATTTGCTTATCTTCTTCGAAACATATGTAAACTAATAACTGAACGTTTATCTTCTTCGAAACGTATGTAAACTAATAACTGAACAAAGTTCGTTATAAACTGACAAGCCAAGCAACAAAAATCGGCCGATGCTATTCGCACCACGGTGCGATTAGCCACTTAAGCTATTCGCACCAACATCAACCACGCATGCGCATTGAGTTGTCAAAGGGCGGGTTTCTACCTTGGCGTAGTTTATCATTTTTTAAGCGTTGGCGACTTTCAAAAGTTTAGAAAGAAAAATGGATTTCTCTTCTTATATATATAAAAAGAAGGAATGCATTTCCTTTTATTAAAGTATATATAAAAAAGGTAGATTTTTATGTTCGCAATGTTTATCCTTTTCGTGAACGGTTTGAATAGTTTAAATGACTAAATGACTGATTTGAAGGGGGGGGCAAAATCGTGTTGACATTTTTTGTACATCTTAGAATACATTTAGCTTTAAAGATGTGTTTTGCGCAATCAAGCCTTTAATTCATTCCTGTTTGAAAAATTTCGTCCGATAAAAGATATTAAAAATTAGACAGAGGATTTCTGTATAGAAAATTTAGACAGGAAATAAGTTAAAAGCGATTATATGAACTATTAAATTAATTATTCTGTATACCTGCTTATTTTTTTATGGAAATACTTGGCATTTTCAGGACACAAAAAGTGCTTCAAAGAACTTTGAAATATTAGTACAAACACATTAATCAATTAAATTGAAATAAATAATGGAATGTAATTTAAAAGACAGAAATAATTTAATGTAAGAGATTTAGATTTAAAAATTTGCACACACAAATAATTTATCAGATTTTGTAAAGGTTTATTTCATAAATAACTTTGATTTTGAAATATGGCATTTGAACCTATAAACCTGTGTGGATACTGAAAAAGTGATGAATGTATAAGAATATTATCATTTTCAGTAAGTTTTCTTATTGAATAATAAATTCTGACAGTCCTGTGCTATAAGAATAGGATCATAGTTTGTTTGCATAAAAGTTTAAGTTTGAATAAAAATTCCTCTGTTAAATAAAAGAATTTAGGTAATTCCTGTAGCCTTTTTGTCAATACACTAAAGATTTTTTAACTAATTACTCGTCCTCGCTTGCAATTAGAACCATCATTAAATCCCTATTTTATCTAATCATTCAATGAAC